CTGGCTCATTGTAGTTTATTATTCCTGGCCGTACCCAGGGGTCCAGGAAGAACTTATACCGTTTAACGGTTTGGAGGTCTTGGCCAAGGAAGACTCATGCCCTTGGAATAAGAATTTCCACCTCCCCAGCCTTTCTCTCAGACAGCTTGTCCTTCTTCAACCACCTTTTTGGCCAGGGAGGAATGCTCCTTTGTTCTTCTCCCCCTGAGAAGCCATGCCTGTGTCTGCCAAATTCCTGGGGTCCTGCGTGTTACCTCCCAATGGAGGGTTTTTTTGGGGAGTGGTCCCCGTCTGGGGGGCCCCTCCAGCCAGTACTCCAGGTCTTCCTGTCCCCCACCCCGTGCCATTTTGATAGTATAATCTATTTTTAAACAGGGCTTTTCACTAGGGGAGAGGGGGGCATCTCTTCCTATATCTGAGATGGGGTGGGTGGGAAGGAAGGGATTTTGGGGGGAATCTTCCTGCCGCCCCCAAGTGTTTATTTTTGATACCAAACGTGTATTTTCAGCTCCCTCCCTCCCAGCCCCCCAATTTCCTGCGGGCGGGTACAAAGGGCCCTTTAAGTGTCCCTGGAGTTGGGAGGGAGGAATGGGGGACATAAAGCCTGACCTATCTGAATTCCAGACTGGAGAGGGTGGGTTCAAAGGACTCCTGGGCTCACTGATCCTGTCAGCACTGGTCCAGCCCAGGCCTGGGGACCTAGGGGTTGGCGATTTAGGGGACGGTGCTACACCTGTCTCCACTGTTTGTTTTACTTCCCCAAAAATGGATCTTTTTTTCTAAGAGTCCCAGAGAATGGGGAATCGTTCCTGTAAATATATATTTTTAAAGGTGATGCTGGAGGCTGCTAGCATTTTTTTCCCTGAAGCTGTTGGGACTAACTGAGTGTGACAGGCGTGTCTTTGTGTGAAAGGCGGTGAAGGTGTGAGGTTGATTGTGAAAGAGCATGATGGCGTGTGGCAGAAACAGTAGTAGAGACTGTAGACTGGTAACCAAGTGTGTGAGAAAGAGAGAAACTGTGGAAAGCTGTGATCACACGTGTATATGTGTGGAACTGTGTGTGAGAGAGTGGAAGCTGTGGCCACTAACTTGACATTGTGTCTACGTGAGAAGTTGTGGCTGTGTGTCAGAAAATCACTGTCAGACTGAATGAATGATTAAGGCAGTGTACAAGAAACTGGTGATGTGTGTGAAATAATGTTTATGAGAAGGCATTGGGGACCGCACATCTGTCACTGTTTGACAGACTGAGTGACCAAAACAATGTGTGTGGGCCTGTATGGGCATGAAAGTGCAGTAGATATTGTCAGGGACTGTGTGGCAGTGAAAAACTTCGCTGTCTGGAAGCACGGGACTCAGTGTTTGGGAGATGGATTGTATTCGAATCTGCTCATGCTTGGCTGTTCTATCAACTAAAGTAATGGGGCGAATGTGTGAGAAGTTGATTGAGAGAAAATGGGTGCCTGAGACACAAGGTAGGAGAATGCGGGATTGTGTATATGAAAACTGTTCATGTGAGACTAGCAAAGACCGAGAAGCTGAGAACAAAACAGCTATGACTGGGAGAGCATGAGAGGCTGTAATCGTGTGTGTCCCAGAGACTAGTGGCAAATTGATTTACAGTAACTACTCCAGTCTAGCCCACAGGTTCAGGGACTGTGAAAGTGAGAGAAAATGATGGGGAGGCTGAGTGAGAGGGTGCGAGAGACCACATAACTTTTTGTGAGCAAGAGACGATAAGTAGCAATAACAGCATCAGAGCTGTGTGAGGGAAAATTGACGACTGAGCAGAGTTTGAGTGTGTGGGCCTGTGAAACACTTCATAAGAGACTGTAAATTGGAGACTACACGTTTGTGAAAAACAGAAAATGAGACGCTGAGAGACCATGTGATTGGGGTGTGGCAGAACCAGGCGAGGCTGTAATTGTGTTCGAGTGTACGTGATAAGCTGACTGCATGAAGAAGATGACGATGTGGACGACTGAGATAGGTCCAGAGAGACTGTGTGTGTGAGACTTAATGAGAGCGTAGTAGTGATTGTGAATTTGTGGCTACAGATGTCAGAAGCTGACTGAAGAAAAGTGACTGTGACACCGAATGGGTGACTGAGACAGTATCTGCAAAACTGATTGTGTGGGTATATGTAAAACTATTTGCAAGAGACTTTCTTAAAGCTATAAATCGGGGCCGGCCCTGTGGTCGAGTGGTTAAGTTCATGCGCTCTGCTTCAGCGGCCCAGGGTTTCCCTGGGTCAGATCCTGGGCACCGACATGGCACCACTCATCAGGCCACGTTGAGGCGGCGTCCCACATAGCACAACCAGAAGGACCCACAACTAGAAATATATAACTATGTACTGGGCGGGGGGGTGGAGAGAAGAAAAAGAAAGAAAATTGGCAACAGATGTTAGCTTAGGTGCCAATCTTTTAAAAAAAAAGCTGTAAATCAAGGACTGGCTATGTTGGCAGCTGCTTGAGAAGTGTGAGACTAGGTGACTAGGACAATGAGGTATTGTGTGATCGTGTATGCGTGTGAAACAGCTATAATCAGGGACTGTGTGTGTGAAATGGGGGCTTGAGTGTGAAGAGGTATGAGAGATGGTGATTTTGTGTGTGTACAAGAAACTTCATGAGAGACTAGTTATGAATCGGTGACTGTGGATGTGACAAAATGATGGCCTGTGTGAGTGGTTGAAACATCTTACCAAAAGGTGTGACTGTATTTGTATGCATGTGAAAAACTGACCGGTGAGAGTAAATCATGGTGATATCGGCCGGATGAGACAGCCTATAAGACGTGATTGTGTGTGTGAAACTATTGGTAGGAGACCATAGTAAGACTGGGAATCAATGATTCCCTGAGTGAGTGACTGAGAATGAGAGGCTGTGTGATCGAGTATGTATATGAGCCTGTTTGTAAGAGACTGTAGTTGAGGCTGGGAATCCAGAACTATGTGTCTAACTGTTTTTTAAAAAGTGAAAGAAAATGAGGCCGAGTGAGACTATGCGAGACCACAATGGAACGTGCCAGGCCTAGGGGAAAGCCCTTTCTGTTTGTTCCCTTCCTCCACAGGTCCTTCCTCCTCAGTCCCCTGGGCGTGCTTCTCCCAGTTCTCCAAAACTTGAAATGCTGGAGTTCCCCGGGGCTTTGCCTGGGCTTCCCTTCCCTCTTCTCACGGGCCCACTTCAGGCACTTCGCTCCGGTCCCCACATGAGATGCGCCTTATTCCCTGGTGATGCCCACGTTTTACCTCCAACCCAGACTGTTCCTCTCAGCGCTTACCCAGAATCTCTGAAGTTTTGTTTGCTTCATTTATTTATTCATTCGGCAGATGTTTGTTGAGCCCTGCAGACACAGCAGTTAACCAACCAGACAGAAACCCCTGCCCCTCTAGAGCTGGTATTTTAGCGAAGATGTTCGACAAGAAACCAACACATCACGTCAGGTGGCGGTGCAGTAATTACATGAGACAAGACTCTCTCACTCTTTGTTTAAGTAAGAAATCTGCAGAGTCATTTTAGTGCCCAAACGTGGGAGCAGATGAAAGCGCCGACAATCCTCGTCCACAGGAATCCTCTGAGTGGTTATACAGTTGAGGGCCAAAGGAAATACCGATTATGACATTATTACCGGGGCAACAGGTGATCAGATAAAGCAACCAGCCGGAGTTACAGGTTTCTAGGGAGTTTCACAGGCTAACACAGCACCGACGTCTGAAGTCTTGGAATCTTAACAAGACCCCTTTGTTCAAAGCACACTCTCAGGCAGGCTTATATTATCAGGAAACAGAGCACATCTGTAATGGATACGAAGGTCACGACGCCTTATCACCCATAAAACAAGACCGATATTCTTGAGAAAGTTCTAACACCTGACCAAATCAAACTATTTCATTTGGTTTTAATTTGCAGAATGGTATTTCTCCGTCCGTGAATGCAGAGGAAATGAGACACTGCCTTCCTCACTTTCTTAGACCCCTTTTCATTAAAAAGATTTCTGGTTTTAAAGTGGGCCCTAGAGTTTCACTCATTAGGGCTTATTTAAAACAAAAGAGCAGGTCTGCAGGGCTCAGTTTTACCTGCCTGGAAAATGAGCTGAAGAGGAATTAATTATTAACAGTAAAAATAAGGAGCATAGAATAGTTTTTCTACATGAGACCTACAAAGAAAAAGAGGGGTCAGGGACTAGAATGATGGTTCTTAAAGTGTGGTCCCCAGACCAGCAGCATCAGTGTCACCTGGGAGCCTGTTAGAAATGCACATTCTTGAGCCCAACCCCAGACTTAGAGAATCAGAAACGGGCGTGGAGCCCAGCAATCTGTGACTGAAGAAAGCTTCCAATGATGCTGATGCACGCTAAGGTTTGAAAGCCACTGGGCTAGAGAGTGACAGCGGTGCCATACATAAAGGGTAGCTGGGGAAGGCCTCTGTGAAGGAGGTGCCATTTATTGTCTGTCTCCCCTTTTAGGGCACGAGCCCCTTGAGGGCCAGGATTTGGGGCTGTCTTGTTCTCTGCTCCGTCCAATGCTGAGAACAGCATCTGGTACCCAATAGGTGCCCAGTAAACATTGAATAAATGTATTTAACAGGCAGAGAGCACGTACTGTATGCCAGGCACTGCTCTAAGGACTTTTTTAAATCTTTACTCCCAATCTTTGCAACAAACCCTATGATGTAAGTTCAGGGAGGGAGGCGTTACCTACCCAAGTTACTCTGATGGAACACAGCAAAGCCAGTTCCCTCCCAACCACTACCCCCCCAGGCCCTGAGTGTCCCCAGCTGGGCCCCTGGGACAGTGGATACCCCCATCTCACTCCTTCTGAATCCTCCCCACACTCTTGTCACTTCCCCTTCTCACTTCCCTTGTGCTGACCTCCCTTCCCCATGCTGACCACAGGGAACCTCACTTTCAGGAAAGAGGAGGGCAAGGCAGTGGTTAAGTCAGGACGGAGATGAAGCAATTACCTCGATGCCTGCTCCGCCCCATGAGGAGACACAGTGAGCACACCACACTCATTTCACCCTTGTTCAGCACCCCGGTGAGGTTGACCCTGTCTTTGTGGTAGAGAGTATGCATTTTAGAGGTCGGGAAACTGAGGCTCAGAGAGGTTCAAGTGACTTGCCCAAGGTCACACAGCTGGGAATCTCGTCATGTCCAGGGAGTGTTGCTTGAGTGCTAAAGGGTTGCTGGGCAGGGCGTGGGGTGCTGGGGATACAGTGACAAACAAAACAGGACCAAGAGGGAGACGGGAAATAGCAAGGGGAGAGTAGAGGAGGAGGCTGAGAGGCAGAGGTGACAGGGGAGAGGTTGGAGCTGAAGAGACCTGCACGGTGCCCTCCCCTCCCCCGTGCCGCCCTTCGCCCTCCCAGTTCCTCCTGCCCCTGGTTCCTCATTCCCGCTGACTCCAGGAGCAGTCAGCCCACATAAAGCCAGGCCTCCTCCCTGGCGGAGCCACGGGGTGCAGTGCTCACCATGCCCGCCCCAGCACAGGCCCCTCGGCTGCTGCCGCCTCTGCTGCTGCTACTGCTCACTCTGCCAGCCACAGGTGAGCGGGCGAGGGCCAAGCTGGCCCCCAGGGGTCCCCGGGCCCACCACACCCTTGACCATGCCCGCCCCTCTGCCCTGGTACAGGCTCGGACCCCGTCCTCTGCTTCACCCAGTATGAGGAATCCACGGGCAAGTGCAAGGACCTCCTGGGGGGAGGTGTCAGTGTGGAAGACTGCTGTCTCAACCCTGCCTACGCCTTCCAGGAGCCCGGCAAGAAGCTCTGCCAGGCATGCAGGTCAGGGGGAGCCTGGGATTGCGGGGAGACACAACTGGGCTCTTCCCTTCTCTGGGATTTCCAAGGCCCTGCTCGTCACCATAGCTCGGGGTTTCTCAGCCTCAGCTTTATTGACATCTGGGGCCAGAACATTCTTTGTTGTGGGGGGCTGACCTGTGCATTGCAGGGTGTTTCGTAGCATCCCTGACCTGCCACTAGATGCCAGTAGCAACTCTTCCTGCCGAATGTCCCCTGGGGGCAAAATCACCCCTGGTTAAGAACCAGGGCCATAGTTTACACTTATTGAGCACTTCCTGCATACCAGAAGCATTGTGGGTGGAGTGCAGCTCGGGTATTTCTGAAGGTAGCTCAAGTCTCCTAATTGTGATGACAGCTCATATTAAGTGCTTACTATATACAGATGCATTGTGGGGGTGGGAGAGCTTGGGGAATTCTGAGGGCAGCTCCAGATCCCTAATTATGACGACACTTCACATTCATTGAGGACTTCCGGCACATCAGATGTATTGCAGAGGTCAAGGGTGGCTGGAGGATTTCTGAGGGTAACTCTAGTCTCCTAATCATGATGCCAGCTTACATGTATTGAGCCCTTACTGTATGACAGACATATTTTTGTGTGTGTGTGTGTGAGGAAGATTGGCCTTGAGCTAACACCTGTTGCCAATCGTCCTCTTTCTGCTTGAGAAAGATTGTTGCTGAGCTAACATCTGTGCCAGTCTTCCTCTATTTTGTATGTGGGACACCCCCACAGCGTGGCTTGACCAGTGGTGCTATGTCCGCACCCAGGATCCAAACCTGCAAACTCCAGGCTGCCAAAACGGAGTGCATGAACTTAACTGCTACGCCACAGGGCTGGCCCCACGCCCCCCCCCAGACGTTTGTAACTGCTTGCTGTATATCCTAGATACACCATGGGGATGGGGAGCTCGGGGATTTGTGAAGGCAGCTCTGTGCCCCTGGTCATGTCAACAGTTCACATCTAGTTAGCACTGTGCTGTGTAGGAACTTGGGAATAGATCTGGGATATTTCTGACAGGGTCTCTGAGCTCATTGGGATGATGGCTTCTATTTATTAAGCACTTCCTGTTTGCCTGCTACCATGCATGATGGTGGCCTGGTGGGTTTCTGAGTCCCTAGTCCTTACATTTGCTTACTGCATGTTTGGCACTGTCCTTGGGGGTCTTCAAAGGATAACTCCAGATCCCTGATAATGAAGGTAAATGATATTTATTAAGCACTTACTGTGTACCTACCTCTTCCCATTCAATCCCCCAACATCCCTAAGAGGTAGGTACTCTCATTAATCTATTCCACATGCATTTATCCCACACTCACGCCTGTGCCTGCCCACACTCTGCAGTGCCGTACACCATGCTTGGCAGCTCGTGCCAGGATGGGACACATGCTCCCTCTCTGCAGGTTCCCACGATGGTCACCGTGGTCGGCGTGGGCCCCCTGCTCGGTTACCTGCACTGAGGGCTCCCAGCTGCGGCACCGGCGCTGCATAGGCCAGGGCGGGCAGTGCTCTGAAAAGGTGGAGCCTCGGACCCTCGAGTGGCAGCTGCAAGCCTGTGAGGAACGGTCATGCTGTCCTGGTGAGGAGGATCAGCAAAGCGGCGAGCACTGCCCTTACCCAGCACTGGGAATGAGTGGGGCGGAGGCCCTGAGGGTGGGAGTGTGCCTGATGTTTTGTGAGGCGCTAAGGAGGAGGCTGGTGTGGCTGGAGGAGAGTGGTGGGAGGTGAGGTCAGAGGGGGCCTGATCCTGTGGGCCACAGTGAGGATGTTAGCTTTCATTCTGAGTGATGTGGGTTGTGGGCAGAGGAGAAATGGGATCTGACTCAGGTTGTGACCTATCTCTCACTGTCGGGAGGAGGACAGACTGTCTGTGGTGAGAGCTGAAGCAGAGAGACTAGTGTGAAGGCTACTGCAATAGTCCAGATGAACAATGATGGTGGACCAGGTATGGCAGAGGATGTGGAGACAGGATTAGCTTATGTGGGGTACATGAGGAAGCGAGGACCCCCACCTCCATTCTGTCCCCCTCTCTTCTCTTCCACAGGGATGGGCGGCTGGTCCGACTGGGGGCCCTGGGCATCTTGCTCTGTTACCTGCTCCAAAGGGACCCGGACCCGTCGTCGAGCATGTGATCGCCCTGCCCCCAAGTGTGGGGGCCACTGCCCAGGACAGGCACAGGAGTCAGAGGCCTGTGACACTAAGCAAGTCTGCCCCAGTGAGTGAGGGCCACCACAGGCACTGATGCAGGCACCCAGGGTGGGTCTGGGGGTTACAGCAGGGAACTGCCAGGGTGGGAGGGCTTCAGCATGCATGATCACACTTGGCATCCTCCCATGCCCATCCCACCACAGCACATGGGGCCTGGGCTGCTTGGGGCCCCTGGGGTTCCTGCTCGGGCTCCTGCCACGGTGGAGCCAGCGCAACTACGCAGAGACGAAGCCGCACATGTTCTGCACCTGAGCCCTCCAAGCAACCTCCCGGGAAGCCTTGCCCAGGGTCAGCCTATGAGCAACGGGCCTGCACCGGCCTGCCACCCTGCCCAGGTACACCGGGGGGAGGCCTCTGACACTCTGCTCTTGATTCAGGCACAGATGCTCTGCCACTTCAGGGGATAGAGATCTCAGACCATGTGACCATGGGGCTCTTCACTTGGGCGCAGTCTGCCTCGAGGGTCTAGGGACTGAGGGGGGAGATTGGGGTGGCCTTTCCTCTCACTCCTGTCCCCTCCAAACAGTGGCTGGTGGCTGGGGGCCATGGAGCTCTGTGGCCCCCTGTTCTGTGACCTGTGGCCTGGGTCAGGCCCTGGAACGACGGACATGTGATCACCCTGTGCCCCAGCACGGGGGCCCCTCCTGTGCCGGTGATGCCTCCCGGAACCACATCTGCAAGTCGGCTGTGCCCTGCCCTGGTCAGCACCCTAGGATGCACCATTTCCATGCCTAAGCCCCCACCCCCCTCTGCTGCCCTGTCCCTGGTGCTGCTGCCTTATTTCTTTCTCCAATTCCTCCATTCCTGGCCTTGATGCTTCGGTGCCCCCCTGATCCCCCATTTCCACATCTGATCACCACCACTCCCTCCCCCAGCCCTCAATCCTTCCTCTGAACCCCCTCGCTGGCTCCTTCTCTGGTGCGAGCCTCTGCTGCCCCTATCTCTGCAGTGAACGGAGAGTGGGGTCCCTGGGGGGAGTGGAGCACCTGCGCCCGCCGGAACATGAAATCTATCAGCTGTGAGGAAATCCCAGGCCAGCAGACACGCTCGAGGAGCTGCAGGGGCCGCAAGTTTGACGGCCAGCGATGTGTCGGGGAACAACAGGATATCCGACATTGCTACAACATCCAGCGCTGCCAATGTGAGTGCTCCCACAGACTGCACTGTTGGGGGGGGTGGGGCAGCCCACACAGGGACTGGGGGTTTCTGACTCTCTGGCATGGATCCCATGTCCCTGCAGCCTCTCTCTCACCACCCCACTGAGAATTCTCATTCTGACTCGGGATCCCCCTCCCCTCATTGCAGGGAAAGGCTCATGGTCGGAGTGGAGTACCTGGGGGCTGTGCACGCCCCCGTGTGGACCCAACCCCATGCGCACCCGCCAACGCCTCTGCACAGCCCCGCTCCCCAAGTTCTCGTGAGTGAGGGGGTCAAGCGTACCTGGGAGGGGGGCATGATAGAGATACATCAGCAGTCAGGGCGGGAGAGTTGGCTCCCCCCAACCCGGGCTTCCACCACTGGGTCTAAGGTGCCTGCCTTGCCGAGTGCCATCTCCCAGCTGCAAGAAGAGGGGAGAAACTAAAGACGACGCTGAGAAAGAAGATACTGAAGGGAGAATTAGTAGCCTCTGTGCCCCTCAGTCACTCATTCAGTCACTCAGCCATTCTCCCATACGCTCAGTCCTTCATGTGTCCATTTGCTCTGCTCTCAGTTACCCATGCTTTGATGTGCTCATTCAGTCACTCAGTCACTATGCCTCCATTCACTTAGTCATTCCTTCAGTCGCCTCTGCCTCTATGGGTGACTCGATGTCTCACTGCCCCGAGGCACTCTAAGGCCTTTTTGGCAATAGTTGCAGACACACAGAACCCAGATCCCATGGGTCCCCCAAGGGATGCAGGTCAGCAGGGCCCTGACAGAAGGCAATATGAGGAATGGCTAGTGCGTGCCAAAGGGACTGCCACCTCGACCTAGGTCCAGGAGGCTGATCGGGGCTCCCCTGGCAGGAAGGGGTTGAGAAAGGCATTCCTGGTGTCAAGACTGTGTGAAGCGAGTCCTGGACAGAGGTGATCCACCCCCCCACCCAAAGTGTTTCCCAGTGGCCAGAGTGGCCCAGGTGTTGGAGATGGTTAAAACACTTACTCATCCCTCCCTTATTTCCACATACATCAAACTACTAGATTGAGGGGCTGTTCCCAACTTGTGGAAGGCCTGCCATCCAGGAAGCGGTCTCCAGCTGTGAGGTTTAGAGCAGGTCCTGAAGATGAGTTAGTGATGTTGAGTGTCGACATGAAGGACATGACAGAGTGAGAGAATAAGTGGAAAAAGGACTGACTGACATTGGGATGGGAGTGAATAGAGGGCTTGCCTAATGGGAGAAATAACCCAGGCAAAGACCATTCTGGACATGGGACTAAGTCTGGATAAAGTGGAGGAGAGAGCTAGAGATTGGCTTGGGGCAGGAATTTGGGCCCAACAAGAAGGACTTGAATGTCAAGGCAAGGCACTGGGGAGAGATGTAAAGGGTTTTGGAGGTAAGAGAAGGTAGCTCATGTCAACAAGTAACAATTATCAACATTTATTGAGCACTTACTATGTACCAGACACCACTCTGAGCACTTTACCTGAATTAACTCATTTATCTTCACTCAGCCCAGTGAGGTGGGTATTATTATTACTCCCATTTATCAGATGAGGGAAACTTAGGCACAGGGAAGATAAAGAAACTGCCCAATATCTCACAGCTAAAAAATAGGAAGGTACTGTGTGTAGGCACACAGTAGCTACTCATTAAGAGTTTGTTGAATGCATGCTTGCCTTCCCTGAGCTTCTCCCCTCCATTCCCTCCCTAACGCCCCAGGCGCACCGTCACCATGGTCGAAGGGCAGGGTGAGAAGAACGTCACCTTCTGGGGGAAACCGTGGACGCAGTGTGAGATGCTGCAGGGGCAGAAGGTGGTGGTGGAAGAGAAACGGCCATGTCTACACGTGCCTGCCTGCAAAGACCCTGAGGAATGAGAAGCTCTAACACCTCTCTCTCCCACTCTGACTCCCTGACTTCTCAGACCTCAATAAACCAGCCTCTTCCCCAGGAGTGGGCCGTTAGCATCTTCCAGGCCAAAGGGCACAGAACAGGCAAAGTCGCGGTGGCCTGTTGCGGAAAACAGTATTTTCCACTGTGGTCACAGTTTGACAGGAGTGACGGCGAGTACCCGTCCCTTCGCCACTGCCCTAGCGCCTTCGTCTGTGTCTGCTACCCACCCCCGCAGTGCCCTGGGCGCCCAGCACGTCCCTCTGCAGAGCTCCGCGTTACGGGTTTCCTGATTGGCCACTCACTCCGGCAGGCACTTTCTGATTGGCTGGCGCGCTTGTTGCCCGTCTCCCCACCTCCTGAAGTTCGCCAGTTTCCCACCCGCCCGAGCCTCTGGGCTGGCGGCTTCCACGTCAGTCGGCATTGAACCGGGGCAGGGGGGTGGCTGGGGTTGGGGCCCCACCGCGCGAACACCTGCACCCACCCACTCCCAACAGCCCAGCTCCAACGCCGCAATTAGCGGCGACAAATAGCTCTGCGAGGCGGGGGGCGGACAGAGGAAGTGCCTGCGAGGTGCTCTGAGCCGGGGCGGAGGCAAAGAGAAGCTAGAGTTAGCATTCGCCAGGAGGAGCCCCCAGACAAACCCAGACACAGATTCCTTTAGTATTTGTTCATTCATTCAACACTTATTAGCGTCTACTGTATACTAGAGCGAAGTCTGGGCATCTGGGGTGGAGGAAGGCTGGTAGGAGGAGAGGACATCTGAGAGGGTACAGGCTTAGAATAAGTGATCCTTTAGTTTAAACATTTATTCAACAGTTATCAACGCCTACTGTATACTAACAATAGCGCTGGACATCGTGCGAGATAGAGAAGAAGAGGGCTCAGAATAAGTGATCCTTTAGTTTGAACATTTATTCAACAGTCATCAACGCCTATTGTATGCTAATAATAGCGCTGGACGTCTTGCGAGATAGGGAAGAAGAGGGGTCAGCGGTCCGTGTCTCCACAGTGGAGGGAACAAACCCAGATACTAACGCTCTTAGCGTTTGCTCATTCATTAAGCACTAATTAGCATTTGCTGAATGCTGGGTCCCTTGTGATGAGACAAATCACAAAAATCATCATAATTATGGTAATATCTAATATTTAGAGAGTACTTGCTGGGTGCCTGGTAGTGTTTTAAGACTTTCCATAGCATGAATTCATTTAATTCACAACGGACCTATGAGGGTCAGTGTTCTCCTCACTGTACCAAGGAGGAAGCAGAGGCGCAGAAAGGTAGTGGGCTACACCTTCCTGAGGCACCATGTCAGGAGCAGAGTTTAGGACTCTGGGATGTGAGTGGAGGGGCACCTCTGTGTGGGAAGGTTGTGATGGGAGATTTGTGACACCTGGAGTCAGGGTGCTTACTTCTGTGGGTCCATTTCCCCTTGTGTAAAATGAGTTAGTTGATGGGTTGAGGTGAAGACGAAGTCGACGAATATTTGGTCATCTTGGGAGGAATGAGCCAAAGCGAGGGGTTCTGTTTGCTACTACAGAGCACTAGAGAGGTATGTGTTTACAGGAAAGTGGAAGTTTGCTAGTACGCGTGCATTAGGAGGCACATATCTTTGTATACGTGTGATATGCAGACCTATGGGTCTGTGCAAGAATTCAGGACGTACTGAGTGTATGTGGAGTGCGTGTGAAGTTACAACCATGTGTGCGTGCATGCGCATTAAGGTGGCATGATATGTATGTGTGTGAGTTATAAAAATGAGTATGATACTGATTACGAACGTATGTGGGGTGTGTATTTTGGCATCATTGCTCACCAATGCACATCAAAAAAATCTTTCTTGAAGCCCCTTCTGTGTGCTCATTCCTGCTGGAGAAGATGGAGCCAGTGCAGAGGAACCTTACCTCTGCCTCAGGGAGTTGAGATGCTACTGGGGGGAATCTTCCTTCTTCTGCTAAATAATCTACAAACAATTCATTTCTGGAAATTAAGCCACCTGGAGAAAGGGAATGATTTTGGGGGCCATGAGTACTAGGAACCTGGGAATGGGGCCCGTGCGAATAGGCAGTCTGGAGACAGATTCCTGAGGAGCCTGACTAGGAGCCAGGAAAGTCTGTAGCCCTGCAGCTACTCCTGTCCCCCAGAGGGGGCACCATGGTCCAGCACAGCTTGTTTGCTTCAGTTACTGAGCAAAAAACTGGGGAGCATATACTTTGAAATGTTGAAAAATACCCGATTCATGGGGAGTTCCCCATCTGGGGAGTGATCTGATATGGAATGCCAGAGAGGGCGTCCAGGAGAGAGGCGGAAGGAATGGCCAAAACAAAGGCCTGGAGGTGGGACTGAAGCTGGCTGGGATGGAGGAGGGAGTAGAGGGTGATTTGGAAGTATCTGACTTGGGGACTGTGGGAGCCTAGGGGAAGAGGTGATGGAATCTGAGTCCTGGGGGAGGGGATTTCCTGGAGACCTCGGCCAAAGATGATCCTTAAGAGAGAGAGGGAAAGGACATTCCTGGCAGAAGTCACAGCACACGCAAAGATATAGAGGTTGTCTCCCCTCAATTTGAGGTGGGTCAGGTGGTCATTTTTACAGATGGGGAAACCAAGTCTCAGAGGAGTTAAGTCACTTTCCCAAAGGTATGGTGGAGGCCCAGTTTGAACCCAGGCACTCTGACTCCAGACCCCATGCCATTAATACCTTGTTTAAACAGGCCAATGATTTAATGAATGAAGAATGAACGAATGAATAAGTGGATAATTCATCTGAAAATCCTGCAGACAGAAGAGACTCTAAATCTGCCTACTTCTTACCATATCTGCTTCCACCTCGCTTGGCCCACCATCATCTCTCCCTGTGGCCTGCAAGGCCCTGCTCAATCTGATCCCGGCTAACCTCTCCGACCCCTTCTCCTGCCACAATCCCCCTCACTTACTTTGTTCCAGCCACACTGGTATCTCTGATGCACTCTTAAAAGAAAAAAAGTATGGATCACAAAGTGAACATGACCTTTTGGGAATGAATTGGAGTTCTTGGATTCCTTCATCTATAAATTGGAAATGATATCCTCCCCCCCTGCAGTATTGTTGTGAGGTTTGGATGAGACAACACATGTAAACAGCCTAGTTGAGCATTGGGTACAAGCAGTCAACAAATGGTTATTTTTAAGTAGATTTGTGTTTTCATTGTAGTCAGGATAGGAGCTGACAGGATGGCTTTCATAGCTCACCTCTGCCCAGACTATAAAGGCCATTTGCTTTCATATGGCAAACATTATTTGGCACCTACTGTGTGCATACCCTAGGATGGGTCTGCCTCCATCTGTGGAAAGTTCTCTACTGCGGGGGGAGATAGCCATGGGCACTGATGATACCAGCTGGTTATCGTGATTTGGGGCTGTGTCCAGGGCAAAAGGATGGGAGCATATAGACAGTGTGTGTGTGTGTGTGTGTGTGTAGACTGGGAGAGATGCACACACATTAGGGCTAGAGCTCCAGGAAATGTGTCTATGTGGCAGATTTAGGTTTGTCCATGATTGCCCGTGGTTATGTGTTTTGTCTGGGTGTGCATGCTCATGTGAGTTTCCCTGGGTCTCTATGTGTCAGTGTGGTGCCTGTGTGTGTAGGTGTACCCGCATACACGTGCATGTATGCATGATGCCTATGTGTGTTACCCTGGGCTTGTGCGTGTCTGTATAGATACTTAAATCAGTGTCTGGTCTCTGTACATGCCTCCGTGTGTTTCCTTACTTCTGTGTGTGTCTATATGTATCTCCACATATGTGACATTCCCTGTGTGCCTCCAGGCCCCCCACCCCCACGGCCACCAGGGCAAGAGTGTGTACCCTGCCCAAATGTGTACCTCCGCCTGTCTAATGCTGTCTACGTCGCCCCCGCACCCTTCTCCCAGCCTAGCTAAGCTGTGAGGACATGGGAGACTCATCTCCCTACGGGCTACTGCCTGTGACCCCCATCCCTCGCCATGAGGGGCTTATTTCTCTACTTTTCTGTCTCTGGCTGTGCCTCCATTCCCACCCCCCAAATGCCTTCTGTGGTTAGCATCAACACTGGAAACCGAGTATCTGCGGAGGGTGCTCCGTGTGGGTGCGAGTGGGTGTGAAGACCAGGATGGGGCAGGGTGGGGAGGCTTACCTGACCACCCACTTCGACCCTCCGGACAAGCACCCACCCCGCCCCCAATCCCCAAATTGCGCATCCCCAATCTGAATGGGGGGAGGGGAAACAGGATGCGGCGTGGCGCTTGCGCACTGCTGCCTTCAGTACCGCGGACAGCGCCTTCGCCCCCGCCTGCCGGCGCGCGCCACCTCCGCCCAGCACTGAAGGCGCGCTGACGTCACTCGCCGTTCCTCTGCAAACTCCCCTTCCCCGTCGCCTTGGTCGCATCCGTGCCGCCGCCGGTCCAGCCGGACTGCACCATGCGAGGCGTGAGATAGGGGGGCACGGGCGCGACCATCCGCGCTGCGGCGGCGGCGACTCAGCGCTGCCTCAGTCTGCAGCGGGCAGCGGCAGAGTCGCGTCGTGCCTGAGAGCGCAGCTGTGTTCCGGGGCGCCGCGCGGTCCGCCCCCGCGGCTCCTGGCCAGACTGCTCCTAGGACCCCCTGCCCCGCGCCGCAGCCATGAACTACCTGCGGCGCCGCCTGTCGGACAGCAACTTCATGGCCAATCTGCCAAATGGGTACATGACAGACCTGCAGCGCCCGCAGCCACCCCCGCCGCCGCCTGCTGCCCCCAGCCCCGGAGCCGCGCCCGGTCCCGCGACCGCCACTGCCGAGAGGGCCTCCGCGGCCGCCCCCGTGGCCTCTCCGGCCGCCCCTAGCCCCGGGTCTTCGGGGGGAGGTGGCTTCTTCTCGTCGCTGTCCAACGCTGTCAAGCAGACCACGGCGGCCGCGGCCGCCACCTTCAGCGAGCAGGTGGGCGGCGGATCTGGGGGCGCAGGCCGTGGGGGCGCCGCCGCCAGGGTGCTGCTGGTCATCGACGAGCCCCACACTGACTGGTAAGCCACTGCTGCGGACGTCTTTCTGTGGGCCTGGGTCCCCAGATAGTTC